GTAGAAATAAATTAATAAGTCAGTAAGAGATCGTAAAAATAATTTCGAAAAATCAAGAAAATCGCTTGAATTTATGGTGAATTGCCCCTCGGTCAAACCCACCATGCTAGATCTGAATCGTCGTTTTGGCGTTGACGTGACATCGGTTCGTCTCGGTTCGTCTGGTGGCGTGTCTGCAGCTAAAGCAGTTAGTGACCTTGTATGACTGCCGCAGGTGCTGCTGGACTGCCGCGCGCTGCTGAGCCCCGTGATGCGCTCGCCGCGCCAGCAGCTGCTCACCCCGCTGGACGCGGCGCTGCACCGCGGCAACCGGGGCGTGGCCAAGTACCTGCAGCTGCACGGCGGCGTGCCCGCCAACAGGCTCACCGAGAAGACGGCGCAGCTGCGGGGCGGCGGCCACCGCCTCACCACCTCCGAGCCCACGGGGCTCAACTCCCCGGACGTGAGCGCGCAGGCCGCCCGACACAGATCGCTCGGCAGCAGCCCCGCCAGCTTCCTGCCTGGCCAGGGCGCCGCCTTGGGCGCGACCGAGACCAGGACCTTCCAGGTGAGGGACCGGATCGACCGGTGTACGGGGATACGCGCGCGGCCGGCCGCAGCTACCCCGCGAGGTCGTCGCGAGCATCCCTCGCGCGCGGGGTGTAGTGCCAACTCCGCCACCACCTGAACCTTAACCGCGCGACATTGGTGTGCAGGTGCGGCTCAACGAGGACGTCGCCATCCGGCACGTGGAGCACATCGACACGAGCACGCCCACGTGCAGACACGCCAGGCCCGCCGAAGAGTCGAGCGACGACGGGCACCACGACAACGGCCCTCGGGGGTCGAGCAGAGGGCGGCGGAAAAAGAGCCGGAAACATGACCGCGGCAGGTATGGTACCCTCTTGTCCAAAAAAGTGTAGGGCTTGTCTGCTCCAGATCGGCAATAACACCCCTCGCTCTCTCCTCACAGCAGCAGCGACATCCTGCGCTGGCGGGAAAGGGAGAAAGAAGACAAGCGACGCTCCATGTCGGGATCCCGCGACTCCGCGCGGGGCTCCCGGAGGACGGCGTCGGACGACTCCGAGAGTGAGGAGGAGGGCGGTCAGGGGCGGGGGCGGAGGTCCGGCGGCGGGGGCGGCCGCGCTTCGGGCCGCACCAGGAGCAGGGCGGCGAGCGAGGGCGACGGCAGGACGGTAAGGTGAGTGCATGTGACGGCGGGGGAGGGGGGGGGGGTCGACAACGTCTGGCGCCAGCGGTCGTCCATAAAATAGCGGGATGTACGACGTCGAAATGAATCGTTTGATTTTTGCTTGTGGGTGGTGCGTGGAGACTCCGGCTCCGCGGGGTCGCCGGCCCCGGTCGATCGGGCAAGTCCGCTCCGCCGGGCCGTGCTGCGCCACCGTGTTCTCCTTCCTGCCTGCTCGTCCACAGGGAGGCCGAGGTCGGGCGCGAGGACCGCGAGGAGCCCCGGACCGACAGGCGGGGGCAGAGCGTGCGGCCGCGACGGTCGCGGCGCAAGGACAGCGACGGGTCCGGGGACGCGGCGCAGGCCGATCACCATCAGCGGGAGGCCGCCGCGCCGAAGAAGGCGGAGCCCGCGCCCAAGAAGCGCGTCACCTACAAGGCCGTCGCCAGGACGTCCACGTCCGAGCTGGACGGCGAGAACAGCGACCACGAGAGCGACCGGGAGATCAACAGGTGAGCGTATGTCTCCCCCTGCCGCTTGTAATCCTCCCGTATCGTCCACGTGGTCTCTTCAAAGACTATGGTTGTCACCAGGTCGCGGTCCAGGTCGGAGCGCGACAGGCGAAGGAGTCCCCCACGTGATGAGCGCGGGCGAAGCCCCGGCAGCGATAGCGTCAGCGGCGCTGAAGGCACGGCGTCGGCGCCCTCCGCGGCCAGGGAGGAGGGGAAGCCGGACGCCTCGGAGCACTCCACGGCCAAGTCAGCGAAGCTCTCCTCGGCCAAATCGTCGAGCAGAGCATCGGGCCGCAAGAAGGACTCGAAGACCACGAGCATTAAGGCTGACGTGGACCACAGTCATGGACGTTCCGAGCTAATCACCACGACGGTGACGGTGCGGACGGAGCGCGTCGAGCACGTCGAGCACGACGGCCACCATGAGCACGAAGTTCACCGTGGCGACGTCGAGCACCAGGAACACCACGAGCACCACCAACACTCTGAAAGCACGGATCAGGCCGGTCACGGTGAGGTCGAGTCTCCCGAAGAGAACGACGGCGAGGACTCCGGGCCTCGGACAACCGTGGTGACTGCCATGGTGCACCAAGAGGACGGCAGCCCTCTGGTGAGTTCTGCGCAGTGGCGGTCGAACCGATTTGTTGTACCCGATGTTCCTGAGGTAAGTGGCCTCTTTGTCCCGCAGATGGCTAGAGCGGAGGCTCCTCTGGTGGGCGCGGAACCTCTACCGCCCCGGGACGAGGAGCTCGCCGGCCTGGAGGCGGTGGCCGCCTCGGACAGCGGGAAGGCGTCTTCCGAGGACAAGTCCAAGAGCGACGATGCGGGCAGCATGGAGACCTCCGCCGAGAACAGTCCCCGTCAGCGCCGTGAGGAGGAGGGTGAGCTAACGGCCGAGGCCGAGATGGAGCCAGGCCCGTCCTCGGAGGAGCAGCCCCTCGCCGAGGACAGCCCAAGGGACGAGGCTGTATCGGTGGCGGACGACTCGGAGGCAGTAACAGCCTCGGAGAACGGGGCGGCCGCTGGAGAGATCTTGCACGAGATCGCATTGGCCGGGGCCGGTGGGGCCCTAGACGTTGGAGCGGACGGCGGTGCGTCAGGAAGCAAGGCGGTAAAGGACAAGGCGTCCGACAAGAAGGACAAGGCAAAGGACAAGGACAAAGAGAAAGCGGCCGACATCAAAGCACGCAGCAAGGAGCGCCGTGGTCGCGTTACCGTCAAAGTGTCTCCCAAGGTAAGGCGGAAAATAAACATTTCCTTTAAAATTATACCATTATTGTAATAATCTGCCGTTGTCTCCAGGACGTGAACCGCGACGTCAGTCAAGAGGGCGGTGTAGGTAGCCGAGACCGGGGCCGAGGTCGAGGCCGAGGCCGCGGGGCGGGTGCGGTGTCCAGTCGCCGTCCAGCAGGCCGCCACAACCACCAAAACAGCCGCCTCCAGGACCACGACGAAGACGGTGGCGGCCAGGCTGTGGGTGGCGTGGTAAACGGCGACGACGTCGAGACCGTTATGGGCGCGGACAGCCTACGGCTAAAGGCGGCGGAGGAGGGGGAGGCAGGGGAGTGCCAGGCCCCGGTGGGGAACGGCGAGGAGGAGGACGCCGGGTCGGAGCCCTCGACCGGCCGGAGCCACAACAACGACCAGCTCGTTGACTCGGGACTCGAACCATCCCCGCGCAGAGAGAAGCCAGGCAAGGGTTCGTATGGAAGAGTGTGGAATGTGCAATGTGATAAGCCAACTCTCCAGGCCAGAAGTGATAATGTCGGTCTCCCGCTATCTCAGACGCGGCATCGGCCGACAGCAGCCCCAGCAGGGAGGACGGGCGTGTCCCCAGGATATGCAGGCGACGGCGGGACAGGCCGGGGTCCGCCGGGGACACGGAGGAGGGGACCGTGTCCGTGACGAGGGCGGTGCAGCTCAGCATGAGGAAGTACGAGTCGTGCCCGGTGAGCTGTAGGAGCCGAGGTGACGGCCCCCAATGTGACACGCTGCCGCTGCCGCGCAGGTACCACCTCGAGCGGCGCATCTTCCACGAGCTGCTGGAGCTGAAGCGGCTGCAGATCCGCGCGGGACGCGCCAACGAGCAGGTGCTGGTGAAGCGGCTCGTGGACGACTACCGGAGGGCCGGGCTGAGCGTGGGCATGCAGCCGTTCTCCGGGACCTACACCTTCAGAAGCTTCGAGAAGTACCTGTACGGTAAGGGAACGCCGCGAGCTCGGCACACTTTCGCTTCCTCCATCCAGAGCCGTACGACCACGACCACACACATGAACTTCCACCCCAACAGACCAGCTGCGCGCGCTCCAGAGCGATAACAGGAGGGTCATCCCCCGCCTGCAGTCGTCGGACGACCTGGAGAAGCTGACGGCGGCGCTGCGGAGGACGCGGCAGGCGCAGCACCACCCCGACAACCCGCTGCAGTGCACCTCGTCCACGCACCGCTGCCACCACGCCGTGCACGCGTACAGCGGCGTGCCCTGCGCCGCATACAGTAAGTAGTGTGAGTCGGTCCGGTCCCGCGGTGCACAGGCCACGGGTCCCGAATCTAACCCCCACCACCCCTCTTGCGTTGCAGTCCCCAAGCTCAACCACCACTACATGCCCAAGGACGGGCTGTACTCGGGCTTCCTGCCGCACATCGAGGGCGCGTCGGCGCGGCCGTCCCTGTCGTCACGCACCGCCCCCGTCACGCTGGAGCTGAGCCACGGCCCGGACAAGCAGGTCATCTCGCTGCCCACCGAGCACCTGGACAAGAACAAGCGCTACTACGTCACCTTCACCATCAAGGGCGGGCCGCAGGCGCAGCAGGCTCACGGCGCGGCCCAGGCGGGCGGGCTGCCGGCCGAGGACGCCGCGGGCACGGCGGATGTGGCCTCGCCCAGCACCCCGCACCAGGGCGGCGGCCCCGGGACGAGCTCCGCGGGCCACGCCAAGAGTTTCTAGCTAATCGGCCGGGGGCCGCACTAAGCCCGTGCGGCCCGGGTGCAGCGTGAGCGAGGGGTTGGGGGATGAAGGCGCGTCACTACCCCGCGCGCGAGGCGTTGGCCCTATCGCGCGGGGCAGTGACGCTGCTGGACGTGGGGCAAAGACGCGCGCTTTTTGCTGAACTTCCCCCCGCGTTCAGTGCTCCTCCCCCCTCTTCCCTGTCTTCTGCCCGCCCGCCACAGCTCTTGACGCCCAAAACCAACTGGGACCAACCACGAAACGAACGCAACTCATCGGAAAGCGAGGAGGGCGGTCGGCCGCGTTCCCTCGACTTATCACTGCCAGAGTCTGAGCCTTAAAATGTACTATGGGCCTTTCTCCAACCCGACGGATGGTCTGCAATATCCAGGAAGAGAAGACCGTTCTGTTTTTTGTTTTTGTTTTTAAGGAAAAATGTTGTACTGTTTGTTATTTTTTACGGGATTAGAACAAGTAGTTTCGTGTTCGTTTCCGTAGTGTTGCTTCTGTATGTCTAGTTGTCCAATAGCAGTCGGACCGAATTAGACGCAAGGGTTGTAGATGTTCTCGCTGTGCCAGCCGGCCTTAAACCATAGGGGTTGTTTCTGTACAAGTTTAAATTGTGTTAAGGCTGTTTAAATATAACCTTGAGACTACTTATGTATAATGCACAAAACTAACTTGAGGGCTTCAGCTTATTTTAGCAGTTATAAGTCTTCCGATCTTTTAAAACGAGAAGTCTTAAAAAAAGTACTTTATATT